AGGAGGTTGGTTGCGTAGAGTTGCGTAGATTAGAAGATTCCACGAGGTTACCTCAGTTTGGCCATCACCGTTTGCAGTCTCTATTATTCCGTACAAAGCAATGTCCAGTAGATAAGGCTCCTGGCTCTTTTCTGTTTCATTCGGTTGAAATCCCCCTGGCCAAGTAGACTGGAGGTGTCAGCTCTCGGGGATTTGCGCAGAATTGGAGCGTGATTTTCCTTTTGACAAAGCCCTCAATCACCATAGCCATTTAAGGCAATGCATTGATTGGCAGAATGTCGAGATGAGATGTTGTATCATAGTTTTGGTGTGTACATTGCAAGTGAAGGCGTGGCAGAGATCCATTAGAAGCCGCCAGAATCGCTACCATGTCGACGGGGCTGGCTTCAGCTGTGGTTGCGAGGCCGCTTCCTGGACTTGCCAAACTTCTTGTCTAGTGGCCTGGCACGTTTATCAATAGAATCCTCGATCTTTTGCAAGTAGTTTACGATTTCGTAATAATGAGTGAATTCCAGATAGGTCTTGTCAGCCTCGTCGCGGACCCTATACGACAGATGCTCAAAGAGATGGCGCATGCGATCACGCTCAGAGAAATCATTATCAATATGTGGTTCCCATTGCTGCAACCAGTTGGAAAAATCAGTCACGGTCTGAGATGGGCGTGTTGAGCTCATCCGTGGGCTGGGACCGCGTAGGGTTAGGCTCGAGCATTTCGGTCATCCGCGCCCCTTGCTCTCGAATCGGCGGAGTAGCCTCGGAGGAGGAGTGAGATCTTTAGAGCTGTTTCTCTTCCAGTACCATTATCATACGGAAGGAGATTGGTATGGTGTTGGGGTTTCTTATTTTTATCTTTCTCCCGTTGGCGGTGGCTTAACTCATGATAATCGGGTGGTGATAAGATACGCTAATGGGTCACGTGGTATTGTTTGTTGGTAACTAAGCCTGGGTGAGAAAGGGGGCGGGAGAAAATAGCCGAGCAACTCTAATTGTCGGATGACATCAAAAGTCAACTGTCATTCACATCAGCCACTCTTTGTTCGCGCTTTTAAATGGAAACATCTATCGACGGCGATCACCGTACTAAGCACACAGCAGAACTATACGATGGCCAATGACGGTTCTCGTCCATGGGAATTCATTCCTTCATGGGGCTCGCTACCTATTGAACAATATCTTATTGTAGGATACACAATACACAACCTGTCCATGCACGACTTATCGTTCGCTAACAGCTCAACAGAGGAACTGAAATCACTCCGCGACCGACGCAGCCAGCCAGCAGCCGGCGGCGATTAATCCACCGATTTCTAGAATTTGATGAAATTCCCGAGGAATATGTTTGTTTGGATGAGTTCCCCCCGCGAATGCCAACGCCAGTGGAGAATGATACTATTCTTCAACCCTGGCGATCCGATAACGACCTTCGTCGAAAAGCATACTATATGTCCAAGGATGACGTGCTTGTTCTTCTTCGGACTCATTATAACCCAAACGATGATGACAAAATGAATGAATTGGTATATAAAAACGATCTGTTCGACGATAACGCCTGGTGGGCATGTCTCAATGATCCGAACTTATTCAATTTCGGTCCAAACTGGCAGCAGGTGTACGAAATCATGCCTGAGCTCGCTGGCCCCGTTGATCACAGGCGACGTTCTGAAGGCCCATGCAAACCCCAGTTCTTTCGAGCATCGCCTCAAAATGATCAGGAAGGCCTCCATGAAAGGAGAGATAGCCAATTCGAGACGACTGTTGAGCTGGCGAACCATCCACAGAACGCCACCATAATGGTATATATTGTTATTGCGGATCAAGAGGCTTTTCAGACTGGACGGTTGCGTCTACTTTGTTTGAATGCGAAACGAAACATTGTCCGAGAGCTTCGCGTGATCGGAAGCCAGCTGAGGTCATGCAACTTATTCGTCACTCAAACCCAATATTCAGACCACGAGGCGGATTCATAGTTTCAAAGGAATCTGTCACTAATGGGAGTTTGAAGCAATCTCATAACACGGACTGCGAAAGATTTTGCGAGCCCATATTTGGAACAGCATCTCGCTTTCCCCGTTAAAGCTTCTTTTAACATTTGTCAATTGTTCTGATAAATCGATCCGCTCCTTCCAAGCTAAGAATATGAGTCATATTTGTATCGTATAGCCAAACTACTGCTCCTCATGTACACGCTCCACTATAAGCCAGCTTGACAAGCAAACCCACCTATCAAGGATTGTTTGAGTAATAATTTCGCCACATACATCAAAAGATCAAAGCGAAGCTATGAACACACGAACACCTTGAACCTCCTCACCCAAACCCAAAATCAAACACCCTAAATGTTGCGGAGACGCGCTACTCCAAAGTTACGTTCAGTAGAAGTGGGTGCATTGGCATGAACAGCCTTGCCTGTGGAAGTGATCAGCAACAGATATTTGACCCATGAACTATAGTGTTCGAGGTTCCAATCGCTGCATTTTGATTTCATCTAAGTCACACCGCAGCCTTTCCTCACTCAAATACCACGTTCTCGGCAAAGTATTTCAATGTAAGCAGAATTTCGTGGAATGTTGGAACTGTCGCAATTACCTTACGAATACTGCATGAAACCGGGTCTATAAGTTAGATGATCCGTCGGCATAGCTTATGTAACTAGGATGGACCCATGAATAGCGAGAAATAGGGGTAATGGAAATACAGAGTCATTTACATCTCCAATTGGCCGGATACAGTACAGAACGTGACACTCTTTGTTAGCTTGAAAGCAAAGTATTACCTTGAATACTGCATGGAAGCGGATTTATTGATGATCCGGATGCTTCGGGAATAACTTAGACTAACGTATTTCCCGGTCGAACTGCGCACCCGGCTGAGCTGCGCACGCCAAAACACCATATTAAATGCGATAAATTACAACTTGATATTCAAACAACCATAGGCTATTTTAATGTCTTTCTGGAATCCTTAACTCTTTGTAGCATATCTGGCATGATTCTAGAGCCCTAATAAATTTTAGAGGCGTAATTGCTATAGGATATATATTTCTAGCTTAGATCCTTAAATTACAATGTATTTTATTGAAACGGAACAAAATAACTATTGAATCGACCTTGAATTTTCACATAGCATTTATTATATCCTAAATACCCAATATACCAGAAAATAAACAGAAGGAATTTGTTGTTGTTGAGATATCTGATTTTGAAATATCGCATTTAATATGGCGTTTTGGGGTGCGCAGCTCAGCCGGGTGCGCAGTTCGACCGGGAAATACGTTATCCGAGGGTTCATTATGTAACTAAAAATTGCCTAAAAATAACTTAGCAGAAAATAGCGGTAATAAAAGACAGAGTTCTTGACATCTCCAATTGGTCGGATACTGTACTAGAATTTGATACCCTTTCTTCAGAGAACGATATTTTGAGCCAGAAGCTGATAGGATGTTCTTGTCTCTTCGCCTCTCACCCGCACCCAGTTTGATACCCTAAGCCCTAAACCGAATATTTGATCAAATTTGTGACCAAAACTAGAAGAATGCTAAGAGAAAAGTAATGATATAGTAGCGCGAGGCCTGAAGTCCCGCTATTTGATGTCAGGGTATTAATATGATTCGCTCAAAAACAGAAAAAACACTCCGCTATCAAACAAAGCAATCTGCGAACACGAATCAAACATCCATGTTTCTCTTCATCCTTCCCTCTGGCTTCCAAACAACCCATGCCAATGTGATTGCTAGCTTCAAACCCATAGCAAACCATATACTTGAAGCCATACCGGTGACTTTTGAAAGACCCCCAGCAGTCATTGCACCAAGAAATAAAGCTAGAAAAGCCCCTATTCTTCGATTTCGCTTCAGGTTGAATTTTGCGGTAAGCTTCGGGTCGACAAGTAAGTCGCATAAAAGCGTTGTCAATACCACTGTTGGGATCTCATCTAGTGCAAGAATGCGGGAGGCGCATATCTGTCCTCCAGCTTGGAAAGATAAAAGGGAAATCGGGAGAACTTGCATCCATTCAATGGGGGCACGAGGGTCTTCCGGCTTTGGGGAAATAATACCAAGCTGAATTAAGATTGCTGTCACCAGGAGAGCCAAAGTCTGAATGGTGAACGAGACAATCATTGTTGAGCGGCGCCGTGGGCTTAGTATCCGATGGAGGCGAATGAAGAAAACATTGCTCGCAATAAAAACGCTGAGAGCGATGAGAGACTTGGCCCAGAGGTATGCCGGATAAGCAGGCTGGCCGGAAGGCCCTAAAGCTAGGAAAACAGTGTTCCCTACCCATGTTATTAGAACCATTCCCTCGAGTAGTGCATAAGTATTTGGAATTAGAGGTGACTCACCTGTTTGCATACTCGAAAAGCTTCCCCATGCATTGAATGACAACCCATCAACCAGGCCACCAACGAATCCACATATTATGAGGACTATATCAGTATGCTTAGTGTCTATATTGGCTCGAAAGTGGCGGCTGAGAACCGAGCCAACTGTTGTGCTTTCTGCAATTTGATTGCTAGAGAGGGAGACCGTTGTGCTGCCTCCGGATGACCAAAGCCCAGGCGTATACTTTGACTCTTCATTGGGAGGATCAAGATTGGAAGAAAGAACAGGGTGGGTGTCCTGGGATATGCTCAGACTTCCATGGTTGGGGGTGGCTGCTGAAGTCGGTGGTTGTATGTTTTCTGGCAGGGAGGAAGATTGTTGGTGCATTGTGAAGTTTATCTTGATATCAGTTATATAACCGGTCATCTCCAAGTACACAAATGAAAAAGGTATGATTGCTCACAGAAACCCAAAATTAGGAGAGGCGGGCGGTATATATGTAATCTAGATCAACATATGCATATTTTTATTCGATTTTCTTTTTTAACTCTTTTGGTACAGACCCCGTTTTCGTGCGCATTCCGATCCTTCCCACACAAGGGATAAAAAGGGTGACTGACAAGAAAGATAAGAGCGAACTTAGAAAAGATGAAACCGGACTACTCATCCCATCCTTACAATGCGCGCATACGTGTGACACTGCTCTCACATATACGGCGAATCGAGTAGCGTGTATTTATTGAGAGAAGGTCTAGACCACCATACTCTGCTTACAGAGAACCAATAAATAACATAGAAGAACAAAGAGCTGAAGGAAAACTGAAGGGTCTTGTTAAATTGGGAAGCCTAATCAGTTCCTCCAGACGTGGATAGATTCATCGCGCATATGCAATCTTGGCAGAGCCTCGGCGGGACCTTGGCGTACTGATCATCATCGCTGAATGCGATTTCCGCCCTTGACCTTGAGCAGAAATGAAACTCTATGACGTTCGGAGGATTCCCTACTCGGAATTCGTCTTCGCCGGTGGAGTGTGACAAGTCTCGGCTCCTTTACATCGGTGATTCTGAAAGTTCGAATTCCAGCTCACCGATTAGCTGGAGCCTTCAGGCACGGGTACAAGTTTACGGCGAGGTTATCCCCTTGCTGAGAAGTGGGCGCCAATGTTCTGGATTCAAATTCCCGAGACTGTGGGTATAGTCGATTTGAATCATCCTTGCAAGTTGCTGTGTTATAGGTTTACCGTGCAAACATACATGTGACCTAAGCTGACATCGTATCTTGGGATGCACCGCCTGTTCTGGGCCATACAGTAAGATCGTGAGTG